TCATGGCATCTGGTCCTCTCACTTCCTGGCAACTAGATGGGGAAGAAATGGAGGTAGTGACAGATTTTATTTTCCTGGGCTCCAAGATCACCACAGATGGGGACTGCAGCCAAGAAATGAAAGGATGCTTGCTCCTGGGGAGGAAAGCTATGGCAAATCTAGACAGCATACTAAAAAGCAGAGACATCACCCTGCCAACAAAAGTGCGTATAGTCAAGGCTATGGTTTTCCCAATTGCAATGTATGGCTGTGAAAGCTGGACCATAAGGAAGGCTGAGCGCAAAAGGATTGAGGCCTCTGAATTGTGGTGCTGGCGGAGACTCCTGCGAGTCCCTTGGACCACAAGGCGATCAAACCGGTCAGTCCTAGAGGAGATCAACCTTGACTGCTCTTTAGAAGGCCAGATGCTGAAGATGAAACTCAAATACTTTGGCCACCTAATGAGAAGGAAGGACTCCCTGGAGAAGAGCCTAATGCTGGGAACAATAGATGGCAAAAGAAGAAGGGGACGGCAGAGAATGAGTTGGCTAGATGGAGTCACTGAGGCAGTGGGTGTGAGTTTAAGTGGACTCCAGGTGATGGTGGGAGACAGGAAGGCCTGGAGGAATGTTGTCCATGGGTTCGCGATGGGTCGGACAGGACTTTGCGACTTACAACAACAAGAACAACAGCCTGTTCTGCCTTTTTCCATTTCTGTTTGCCTTGGGTGCCTTGCTAGAATGGTGACATAGTAATGTAACAAATAATTATGGAAGGTTGCCACAAGTTACACAGCCAGGAGGGGCTGGTAGCATTTTCAGGATGTAGCAGGAAGGTCCACGAGCCTGGTTCCAGCACAGGACAAGGGTGGCACTTCCACATGTCCCTCTTGCAGCACATTGCTCCCTACCTGGTTGGAATAGGGGCACTATCTCACAGTTGCTGCTGAACAAAAATTCACCTTGCATATATTGTTCCTAATTTAAAAAAAGGGAAACTATTTCATAGCATTCTTTGATGCTTTGCAGATTTTATGAATATCAGATATTTGCAGATTCAGATCGTTCAGTTTTTAATTATTTAATCTGTATCAGGGATAACATATCACATTGCTTCTTTATCTCATCTTCTTCACTTTCACTCTGTTCCTGAGCAGAATATTTGGAAATGAGCCACAGATTCCAGAGACTTATTTCCATGTAATGAGAGTGACTGGCGTCTATTGCTGGGATAAAATAACCAAGCTTGCTACCTGGGGGTTGGCTAAGAACGAAAAGCTGAACTACCATGTGTGCATTAATTCTGATTGATGAGGCTCCAAAGGACTGGTGTCTGCAATAGGAAAATTCATCAACCTCACTAGGGCAGTGATCTCCTCATTCCTACCCTGGAGTCTTGCTGTGCCTTGTGACTCAAAGCGAGCAACCTCTCAGGGGAACTGTGGCTTCCAAGGCTAAAGGCTGGATTGCCCCCTTATGATATAAAGCATTTATAGCTATTCAAGGTAGAACTTGGAGATTATAAAGTGAGTAGGAAGCTGGTCCTTATTTATTTTGCAATTTTGAGGATTGCACCAATTTCAAGGCTTCAAGACTGTATGTCTTCTTTGAGATATAGCGTTACAGACACCACAGGGCTGCAACATACCTTGGCCAATTGCATAATCTGCTGGCCAGGTGCAAAATGCTCATGAGCAACTCTTTCCTTCTTATGGTTACCTACCTTTGAGTCAGACATAGACTGGGGAGTGGGGGGGGGCTTCAAATAGAGGAAACCATCAAACAAAAGGGACGCATTCTGGCAGCCCTTAATATAGTGGATTATCTTCTATAAAACATGGTCACCTTACTGAGACATCATCTGTGACCTGGTCGTGTTTATTTCTGGCTGGGTTGGAAGAAGGATCAGCTGTGCCGTACAAACCATAAGGTAGTTTGCTGCATCCCAGTGCTATTCTTTTCCATGCTTCTCTGTCACAAGGAGGCTGGCTTTATTTCCTAACATGGTAAAATTGTGCATCGGTGAAACTAAACTGATATTTTAAGTAAAAATTTAACACTCACACAAACATAGGAACCAACTGCAGTTGCTTTCACCAGTCTGTGAGAGCCCTTGGGAAACCTCCTCCCTCAGTGAGTCACCACCATTGTCCCCAGCTTCTGTTGCTCTTCATCATCTGCCTCCTCATGGCTCCTGCTTGCTTGCCTAACAGGCAGAGTGAGCAGGGAGGCTGGGACATCTCCCATTCCTTCTCTCAGGACCATCCTTGTCCAGGCTGGAGTAAGAGGCTGATGAACAAGCCAGTAAGGAAGCAGTAGGCCACAGCTGTTGTGAGTCCACAGCAACAACAGCAGAGAGGGAGAACAACTCCAGGGTGTTTTTGGATCCCTGGTGGGGTGTGTTCCTTTGGCAGCTATGCCTTGATGCTGGCCCTGATCAGAGTAGTTTGAGACATGGTTGGCTTTGAACGAGCTGATGCAGCCGTGTTCTAAGGACTAAGAACATGATATTGGGAATGCATTTAGGCTGTGTATATTAAAACATTTATATACCGTCCAGTCAGCCACCATTCAGGCTCTATGAATGGTATACAGCAGAGAAAAAAAACCAAATAAAAACATAATATAATAAAGCTGGCATTGAACAAATTTAAGAAGAAACCTGTTGGATCACACCCAAGGACTATCTCCTCCAGCATTCTGCTCCCACCAGGCGAACAAGAGGCCTATCTGAGCGCACTGGGAGGACATGAGGTAGATAGTACCCCCACGCCCATGCTGTGCAGCATGGCAAGTAGCCATGGCTAGTTTTATTCTTCATGAATATGTCTAAACCCAGTTTAAACCCATCCAAGTGGTGGCCATCACCATATTTTGTGCAGAACTTTGGATTGTGGCAAGAAGGATTTTCTTTTATCTTTCCTGAATCTGCACCCATTTAGCTTCATAGTAAGACCCACATTCCAATATTACGAGAGAGGGAAAATAACTTCCCACTATATCATGCGTGATGTCTTTGACATCTTTAATACCCCTTCATTGTGTTGTAAGCTAGGAAGCCCCAGTTGGGACAGATCCAATTGGATCTTGGGCAGACCTCAAATTTGTAGGATCTGCTTGGTGTTTTACTAGAGGTCCAAGATCCAGCTAAGGGTCCAGGAACAAAATAGTGGTATGGGGAGTGGGGGCAGGAATTAAGGCACAGGGTGGCTTTGAGCACCTGCTCAGCCCTGAAATGGTTGTTAGTACAAGAATGCAGCTTGCACAAAGCCAATTGAGGCTGATCTACTCTTGGCATTTTTACTGACATTGCAATGCTGGACTTCACATGGAGCTCACCCCAAATGGTCCTCCTCGTGCTATTTCAGCCTTTATATGCTGGATTTTTTCAGGCCAGCTATATCATGGCTCTTTCATATGCTGCAGTTTTTTCCCTGGCATGTGTCTGTATGCCAGTATGTCTTAAACTTGTGGTACTTTTCCTGGGCCAGCAGGAGGGGCTTCAGTGGGCTGATAGAGAAGAGGAAATGGGCTAATAGGGATTTGGAAAACAGCAGTAACCCTGAGGAGATCTTTCAGTCGCTTTCCCACCTCCTTTACACCCACCCATGGCTTCTCTCTCTCGCTCTCGCTCTCTCTCTCTAAATTGATTGGTGAGCGGAAGAGTCAATGCAGTACTGCTTCCCCTCTGCTCCCCTTTGTTCTCCTCTCCTCTTTCCCTTTGGGAAAAAAAGTTTGCAAGGCACTTTCAAGCCTGAAAATGCATGCCTGCTCAGAAGTAAATCACATTATACTCAATGGCCTTGCTCAGAAGTAAATCACATTAACTTAAATGGAACTAACTGATGGGAAAATCAGCTCAGGAAAGGGTCTGGATTTTCTTTCTTGGATCTGATTTGGGGTAGAGGTACATGGCGTGCTTATCCTGCCGGCTTCACCCCTGGGAGGTGGAAAGGCAGCGGCAAGCAACTCTGCTCTCCCCCACTTGTCCTCCTTCCTGATTTTTTGTGAGAGGGCGGGAGGAGCTGTCAATTCATTTCCTTACACTCCTTCATTCTTTTGCTCCTGCAAACCTACACATAGCTAATTTAGCTAAAAAGCAAACACACCGCCAAATGAACTTCAAAGGGCCATTTCCTGCACACATCTCCTTTCCCATTCCTCTTAGTTCTCCCTCTATTGCATTTGTGTGTGACACAAGATCATGTTCTCAGCACAGTAGAACCTGCACTGTATTCATTAGCATGTGTTCCAACTGTTGTGTATGAATGCTGTGCTCACTCCCTGATAAATGGAGCGTGCCTCAGGGTAGCTCTCTCCCAGTTTCTGCACCCCACTTGCATCGGCAGCCCGATTTAGGACCAATTCCACCCCTTGCCTGCAAAGAGTGTTCTTTTTACTGTTACTGTGAACCCTGGCCAATATACTGATGATCACTCAGTGACCTGGCAATAGGTTCTGATCTATCCACTACTGTTTTATGGGATTAATATGTTTGGCACAGGAATATGGAAGCTTTGAAGTCACCCAGAATTCATTCTCAGACACCATATTAAGTTTCTATCTGCTTCAATATAATTCAAGGGCAGGAAATAAAATAAAATAATAAAAATGCAAAGGTTTGTGTGCTCCTGTGTGTTCTTGTGACATCAACAGAGGCCATTCTAATGAAACTTTACTGCTTTACCTTTCTGCACATAATTATCACCAACTCTCTCATTATAGGGGTGTTCTGATCATGGCATACTCTCTTCATATAGCTTAATCCCAACCTGTGTTAATTAGATTCCAGAAGCGATCCCCTTTAGTCTCTCACTTTACTCTTGCCCTTCCTTGTCAAGGCAAAACACTGATGTTGTATTTTCTTGCTCTAATAAGGAATTCACCTTGCTTACTCTCTGCCTTCCAACTGCTCTCTGGAGAGCCCTAACGTGTGCTTAAGCATCTTGCAAAGGTTTACTCGGAATGTCTGCAGCATGGGCAATAATTCCAAATGTTCTGTCTTTGCCCTGTCACTTTTAGGCTGGCATGATTCGCACAGACAAGGACGAGTTTTTCATTGAACCTCTGCAGAACGGGAAGCAGGAGGAGGAAGAAGGTCGGACACACCTGGTGTATCGCAGGGCAGCTGTCAAGAAAATGCTTCCCAGTGAGCATCCAGACATCCAGCAAAGAGGTAAGGCTGAGATGCTAATGGCATGTGATGTTTGAAGCTGAGCTAAAAGCGTTTATGTAATATTAAGTATCACTCTTAAACTACCACTGCCTTTTTGTCCTTGGTGAGGTAAATATCTTCTGTTTCCTTATGTTTTATTGCCTGGATTAAGTGGAGGAAGAACTGTCTTGCTCAATTAATTGTATACTAGTGGCCAGAATTTCCTGAACAGTTCTGGTTCCTCCATTGTTAACCGAAATAGCATGGGCCAATCATTAAAACATGAACAATTGGAAACTGAGAGTGGAGAGATAGAGATGGGGGGGGGGGGTGAATGCTGATCCACTTAAGGTAAGTTGACATACTGGAGGAGAAGGCACTTGAGACTAGCGATGTCTGAGAAATCTGGTTTAGGGTTGGAAATCCATTGGATTTCCTCGGCCTGCCTCTTCAGACTCCAGCCTGCTTTTCCAGTGCCCTAAATCTGCCTCATGCCAAGTTGTGTGGGTACTTGGGAGAAAGTGAAGCCTAGTGAGGTCACAAGGTTGGCTTGCACACACGCCACCTGTGTGCCTGCTGTGCAAGTGGAATTTGCTGCCATACACATGACTTGTGAGCTGTGCAAACTTTTCACAAGGCATGGTATACTTATGTCCTTCACATACTTTGCACAAAGATGCCACTAGCATTCCTGAGCATTTCTGCACTTGATCTCAGTTGAGCTTGCTTCCTGGACGGGGACAAGCATGAGAAAGATGTCTGGTGAACACAAGAGAACTGGATTCTGGTCCGATCTTCACATCCCCGCTTGAGCAGGGATGTATTTCACTCGGCGTCATTAGCCCTATTCAGCTGTTTACTTGAACACAAGAAGGCAACATGTGTGGAAGCAGCACCTAGGCTGTTCCATGCCCCAGTGTTCCTGCATGCACCACCCAGTCCCTCCATTCCCAACTCAGAGGTCTGAAGAAAAGCTGCGCACATGTAGCTGGATCCATTCGGAATCACCCTCCAGATCTTCATGTTGAATGTGCAAAGGTGAGGAGTGGCGTGAGTGGAGGCGGCATGCCTTGCAACCCGGGGCCCTCGCTCTCTGTGCCTTCATGGATTCAGGCTGGATCAAACCAGTTTTCCACCTGGTCCAGCATTCCATTTCCTCAGCGGCCAACCAGCTGCTCACAGGCTCCCTCAGGCAGGATGAGTGCAAGAGCTCCCTCCTGCCCAAGCTCCCCAGCAGCTGGTGGACATAAGCATGCTGCCTCTGGTGCCTGAGGAGGCTCACAGCCATCAGGAAGAATAACCATTGATACATCTCCATGATCACAGTCACCTCCCTGGTGGTCAGAGGAGTGGAAGAATGGAGGACTGGGCTTAGTATTGCCAGCATCTCGGTTCCAGCGTTGCTACGTGGCAACTGGTGCTTTTTTTGTATGCGGCCACTGAAGGGGTTTTCAGGAGTGGTTTTCTACTACATTGGTGTGTTGTTGCAGATGTCTTAGGAGAGGTTTCTGTTTGTTGGGAATGCAAGAGGCAGTTGTTCCTGGCACAGATTTCAGGGCCAGGGTAACATGGACTCTTTGGATGGAAAGGAGAAGGCTTTGTAAATGAGAGCCCCAGACACAGAGATGGCAGAGGCAGAGCAGGGCCTCTCTCAGGGCTGCCATCTCCAGGTTTTCAGACAGGTTTTGTGAACATCCAGAATCTGTCAGTGTCAAGAGCAGACATGAGACAGGAGCCAGACGAGTCTGGCACAGTCCTCCACCCCATGACGTGGCATCAGGAGAGAAGCGTTAGCCAACTAGAAGGGCTGCGGAAGTTGCCTGGTTCCAGAAGAATGCTCCCAGTCGGACAGGGTCCAGAGTGACTCAAAAGAAAGTTTATTGGAAGTCGTTTCTAGTTTGGGTTCAACAGACTGCTCTGTGCATGCTCAGAGACTCTTTCTTTGTTGGTTATAGTTTGCTGGATGTCCATTCGAAATAAAGACCTTTGGCAAATGAATGGTCTGTTGCTTTGAAAGAGAGCAGAGGGAAACCCCGCCTGCAGCACTGTTGTTGCGGTTGGAGTTTTCTTGCAATGACTGTGCTGCTCATATGTCTGACAAGGCCACGCTACCATAGTGTAGCAGAAGAGTCACATGGCCCCTCACATCTGCTGCATGACTTGCAGCCCCTTGAGGCTCCTCCTGGTGTGACTTATTTCTCTCCCAAGAGGGGCAAGAATGGAGAAGCTTGGCATGAATGGCACCTTGACTCAGTCAACCTGTGGCTTAGCAAAACCAGGTGGAAGGAAGGGTTTCTCTTCTTTCTCCATCACACCCTTTTTTTCAGCAACAGTCCCTGCTGCATGTATGAATTTGGGCATTGTTATAGTGGAACTGAGTCACTGCTGGTATGGGAAGATGTGGATTAGCTTGGATGCGTGCAAAGAGCAGCGTATTGGGGACCATCTGGGCAGGGTGGCCATGAAACCAGCACATGGCTAGGCTGTTGTCATTCTTCTGATACAGATTGCAGTGTTAACAATGTGTTTATGCAGATTATTTCAGTGTTGGGAAAACACTGAACCATCACATATTTTTCTCTGAAAAAAAGAGCTTGAACATAACCCAAACCTTATGGCACTCCTTTTTAAAATCTTAGATGCTAAAATAAATATTCACCAGCAAATAAAACACATGCAGAATAACAAACTTCTTTCAAATGTTGGCACAGGGTGCTCCATCAAGATAAATGCTCTCAGAAACAAGTGTAAGAATACAAAGCAGCTTGCTCTGTTCTGGAATTATTTGAAATAATATCCCATTAAGAGATTATCGCTTCCTGTTGACCTCATATGAGGGGCTGAAGAAAGAGCCTTCCTCATAGGATGCTGCCTTGCACTGAGTCAGATCTGTGGTCCATCTAGCCCTATATTGTTGACACTAACTGGCAGCAGCTCTGAAGGGGTTCAGGGTTCTTTCCTAGCCCTACCTGGAGATGCCAGAGATCAATTCTGGGCAGAACAGGAGGGGTGGTATATTACCACTGCCCACTTTCCCTCCCAAGGGCCCACCACTGCTGCTGCCCTATCTATCTGCTGCCCTAAATCGAACCTCTTCCAAGGTTCAATTTAGATGTCAAGAAGCGCTTCCTGACAGTTAGGACCCCAAGGATATGGAATGGGCTTCCCCGGGAGGTGGTTGAGGCCCCATCCGTGAGGGTGTTCAAGGATAGGCTGGACATGCACATGGTGGGCATGTCGTGAGCGGAGCCGGCTGGAGCAGGGGGTCAGGCTGGATGGCCCGGGAGGTCCCTTCTGACTCGCTCTGTTTCCATGTTTCACCACCAGTGGGTGCTCTGGAGAGCCCTTCTAGCTGCTGTAGCATTTGACACAAAAAGAGAATGGCTGGTGGAGCTCTTTAGGGCAGCCACTACCTTTTTTTGCCTTGCTATACAGAGAGTTGTGCAGCCAGGAGAAGTGGGTGCAGGAATCTCATGCAGTTGACGTGGCTGAAATGATTCCCATGGTATGTTAAAGAAACTTAGCTTTGCTTCCATTGGTTTGCCCACCACCGTTACGTAGTTCATATTTGTTTGCTGCTCCAGGGACATAGCATCTCCCTCCTACATTCCAGTCTTGCATTGGATCATTCATTCATAAGGAGAAAGGGAAAAGAATATATTACAAGCCCCTTAAAAGTAAGGGCATTTTACTTGTGTTACTGATAGCTTCTGGGCTTTCAAACATCTTTTGCTGGGTTCTTCAGTATTCAAATTTTCCACTCACTTCCATGTGTAGGTAATTAAATGGACACCTTGCCACCTTGCCAGTGCAAGCTTCCTTTTAGAATTGGACTCTTTGGCATTGAGTTGTATGTGGTTATGGTTTGTCCCATCCATCATTTTCAGCTAGGACTGAAGGAAGGCACTTGGCCAACAGCCTTAAACAGATTAGGCAAACTTTCCCTAGATGTGTTAGACTCCAGCTCGCATTATTCCCAGCTAGCCGGCATGACTTCTATCATGATAGCTGGGAATGATTGCAGTCTACCATATTGAGAGAGCACCAAACTGGGAAAGGCTGTTCTTTTCCATTTTTCATGGAAAATGCACAAGAATGTTAGCTTAATACTGATCAGGAGGGTGGGGTGATACAGAAATCTGTAGGAGTGTCCTTCTGTGACCCATATTCTCTTATCCTACATTCCCTGATAAGGAAAACAGTGTTCCATCTGCTACACATAACATGGATTCTCCCAAAATACTAGGCAAAGAGAACCTTCTGTATTGATGTTTTACAGACATTTTGTCTTTTAAGGAAATGGAATGTGCTTGAAGAGAACATATGCTAATACAAGTTTGTGTTGGGCTGGAGATAATTTCAGCTTCAATCAAAAAGTTTTGAGTTTAAAAAGAAAAGGAAATGCATCTTGGCCAGGCAATCTGTTTTTGGTTTAATCAGAGTAAGAGACTAACAGCTATCACATTTCCAGCATTTCTCGCAGAACACTACTTTATTAATCGACTGGAGTTATTAGCGTGTCCTAAACCAGCACCACTGTTAATAGCTCAATCACAACATTGATACATCACTACCAATTATAATAGTCCCAATTATCATGTGGGATAATGAAATGCGATGCTGCACCTATGAGGTACATGTTACCGCAGATGGTATGGGGAGCTGTCATCATCACCATCACCGTCTTTTTGCCACCAGAACAATTGTTCATTATTTCATTGTTTATTTTCACAATTGCAAAATCTTATTCATAAAAATAAAATGAAGAACAGTTACAGCACAATGCAGTGTAGCGGCCCATAAATAATCCGCCACACTTACTGGCATTTTATGGAAAGCAAAGAGATCCTGGAGGCAAAGGTCACGTCTGTGTTTCTGCTGCCCTGCAAAACACTTAGACAACCCATTCTACTATCTAAGAGTTTTGCATCCGTATGCAAGGTTACAGTTTGTATATGGTATATTAATAGGTGCTGCTGCCATATGATAAACAGCCACACTAGTAATCATTTGTAAATCTG